CGTTCGTGGAGATGTGCGGTTGAGAAAACTCAACGCGATTTCTGCACATATCCACAGACACGTCCAGATTCAGGCGTTGAGGAAACTCAACGCTGCTAGTATGACCTGGCCCCAGTAGCCGGCCCCATTAGGCCCAACCGGATCTCCCGGCCATTTTTTTGCATGATGTACGGAACCAGGAAGCAAAGGCCAAGTTGACTCAACTAAGCTCATGATGATGGACGTGATTGTGGTCAGATTCATCGAAGAGTGGACGTAATTGCTGTCCATTACGAGGGTGCGTTATGTTCGGGGGAAGGCTGCAGCTGTGCATGGCCCAGCATTGGCTGCACAGAGCACGTGCTATGCGCTTGGCAGTCGGAAATCGATTTTTTTTTTTTTTTTCGCTTTTTTTCCGAGAAAAGTACTCTTGATTGGGAAATTATATTTGAATTGGGCCTGGCTCCTCTAATCACGACATGCGCAAAAGACCCAAAAAAAATATGGCGGTGTACTTCTGCATCTTCTACCGGAATATTCGTTCTCATTTTCCACGTTTGGTGTGGTGGGGGGCGAGGCCCATTCACTCAGCACGCCCCATGGCTCTAGATGGGCCGTATTTCTCTTTTTTTTTTTTTTTTTTTTTTTTTTTTTTTTGATAAACAGCCCGAGTATCTGCTAGGGGTGCTGATATGGTCAGACACCACTAGCAGTGCCCCGATGGCTCCATCTATTGGTGGGGAGCAACACCTGCTGGAAATAGGGTCCAGCGTCCCTGTAAAGTACATTTAGAGTGCAATTATACAGTTTGATGTGCGTGAACCATGTCAGGTACGAGAACAATAAGCTCGTGAAGGGTTAGTAAGCCGGTGATCTGTACTAACTATCGATTTTAATGACGTTTACAGTGTGAACCCTGTCAGCTTATGAAAACAATAAAATTGTGGAAGGCTTAGTATGCATGATGGATCGCTGTACAGTTCCTATGTGCCCTGTACTATCTATCAGTTGTAATGTAGTTTACAATAAGCTGTTTGTCTGTTTGTCTGTCATTTTGCATTTGCAGGCTTGCTGCTATTTGTGCCTGTGAATCCTACTGGATCGCTGTTGTTGGTCCTTGTTTCCTGGGGCTGTGGTTATTTGTCTTGCTGGACCGGGACTCCGTCATCCCCTGGAGCTGCTAGTAACACCCAACCCATTCTTGGAGCGCCCGTTATCTGTTAACCCAGCCCTATTCAGCAGCCCCGCTAATTGTTGATTCATTATCTGACTTTTAAATCCGTTTCAACCAACACCCTGGCCCATTCCATGCATATCAAACTTAACATATGCTCAATGTTTTGCAGTATCAGCTTTGACCTTTCTTGGACCAGGACTTCCCCCTTCACGTCCTCCATGGAGATCAGCACCGGTGGATCCGTTGGGGGCCCTTGGTCTCTTTTGTCGTGTCGCCTTTGTCTCTTCTGTCCTTTGTTGACTCTCTGCCTCTTACTCTGTCATTTTGTCTGTGTCCTTGTCACTCTCCCGCTGCGTGTCCCGCGAAGCCCTCTTCAGTGTAGTTGCATTGCAGGGGCTGAGAGGGTACCGAGGGGGGGACAGGGGGGGAAGCAGGGGGAAGGGGGTTAGAGGGCCATGGTGGGGGGGGAGGAGGGGTCGCTGGTGGAGGTTGCGAGGGAAGCCAAGGGGGTGGGAGGGGGGTTCCAGGTGGGGGTTGCGAAGACCGCGAGAGCGGTGTGGGGGTGATGGGGCGTATTTCTCAGTGTCAATGGGCAGAGGGCTCGCGGAATCTGGACTCAAAACTGGTCCAGTCCAGACAATATGGTGCCGAAGTAGACTGTGTAGACAGATTAGCAATGCTTCTGCTAAGTTCTATCCCGCACTCACTGGGGAGTGGTTTCTGCATCTCCCTTTTTTTTTTTTTTTTTTTTTTTTTTGGAAGGCCCTCACGATATTGTGCTTTTTTTTGTGCTTTTTTCGGCACGTTCCTCGAGCGACTCCGATTAGGTGATGCGGTTGTTCCGTCGTTCTCGTGGATCCTGAGTGAGAGGCAGTGTTTACTGGAGACCACATGGGGGTTGGAGGAGGGGCCGCCCCCCCCCTCTGCGTGCGTTTATAGACTGGCCACGATTGGACGACTTGATGCAGCAGTACTACGAGGAGCTTGAGGAGGGGCAAGATCTTTGTGCTACGCTGGAGGACCGCTGCTATGATGCTGACAACATCATAATGGAAGGCGCTAACAACATCAACCCTATCGCCAAAGATGCTATCAACATCAACAGTAAAAACAACGACAATCTCACCGCTGTCGCTCTCATCGACGCCGTCAACAGCAACGACAACAACAATAACGACATCGGTAACAATGACAACAACAACAACAACAACAACAGCAACAATAACAACAACAATAATAACGGCGAAGACGGTGCCCTTCGTGAAGATGACCAGGACGTTCGCATCCAGGTCGCCAACAGGGACGGCAATATTGCTGACAACAATTGCAACATTGATTCGGACGGGGGCAATCGTAGGGTGCGGCAGGCTTCTCCCACGATTGTTGCCATGTTTCATGGAGGTAGGCCTCTTTGGGAGGGGATGAGTTTGTGCATGTTCATGTGTAGCTGGCGCTGCTCGTGCGGGCGAAATAGCACTGCGGCGCTTCCATGGGATCCGGGTGGGAGGGTAGCAGGGTGGGGTAGAGGCCTGGATCTTCGTTCTTTCGATGTTTACAACAACAACAACAACATCAACGATAACAAAAATGACACCACTCACGAGGTGGTAAGTTCGATTGGGGATGGGCGAGTGGCGAGGAAGATTGGGTTGATTTGCAAACAGGAAGGCTGGGTGTGGGCGCGAGGGTTGGGGTGGTGGCGTGAGGGGGTGGGATAGTGAAAGCTAGATAGCTGGATCGTCGCTTCCTGTTTTGGCCACGTGGCAACAGGACAACTGTGGTTCACTAAGGTCTTTGCTCATTGCCTTGCCAAAGCGGAGTTGGCGATTTTCATTTCTTGCGGGTTTTTACAGCTTAGGATTACGCCACGTGTCAGAGCAGGCAGTGCACTGAGGGTTGGCATCAGGGCTGCTTGTGTGATTGATTGGCGGGGCAGGCGGAGAAGCGACGATTGGCACCAGGGCCGCCTGTGTGATTGATTAGTGCCCTGCAACGTTTTTGACTGATTAATTAGGTTAGCATGTGGCTGTTAATCCGGGTAATCTGTGTAAATTGTGCCCCCCCACTTGAGTGGATTCGTGGATTATGAGGATCGTCGGGGGGATGCGGTGCAAGTAACCTTACATAATTGAGTGCAATGGTGGAACCCGACTTTTGTCCAAGGTTTTGCTATAATTGATTTTCCAAAGCCCCTATTCTGAATGCCCCTCCTCCCCGGGTGCTGCAAGAGCGATTCTGAAGATGATGAGGAATTCAGACTAGTGGTAAGATGTTAGACTGCGATGGCCAGTTAATCCGCTCAGTTGAGGGCAATCAATGCTGCTCATCGAAGTAATGATGTGTGCCTGCGTGTAGATTCAGGTGTTCACTCGTGTTTATAGTAGGATGGACACGTGGCACGGTTACATAACTCTTGTTTACAAAATGCCCCTTCCTAAGATGTTGAGGGACGCTGGACCCGCTTTCCAGCAGGTGTTGCTCCCCACCAATAAATGGAGCCTCCCCGAGTATGCTAGTGGTGTCTGCTCTTATCAGCACCCCTAGCACTCACTCAGGTTGTTTCTTGTAAAAAAAAAAAAAAAAAAAAAAGGAGACTGGGTCGGGGTACCATAACCATAGCACCAATTCACAGAGACTGTACGTAGATATCACTGTCCCATTGAGAACCAGGGGCCACTGGGAGGAGAGGGGGGTGAAGGTCGGAAAAGAAAGGAAAACAAAAGGGGGCGAAGTCCCACTAGCGGCAGTTTAGGTAACTACTGCTGTTACGACGTACTACTAGACTATCAGAGTGTACTCACACTAATACTTCACTGAAAATCAGTCCCGCAGCTCATTGTGGAGGACTGGACCAAATGGGGTTATGGGAGAGTACCTGGCTCTATTGGCACCACACATATTTTTGTCAGAAATCATTTCCCCCACAGGAGGAATTGGTGGAGCTCCATTGGTTTGGCCTAACCTCCTAGGGTCTTCCTTTATGGACTTCTCCTTGGAGTTGAAGACTGTCACGTCCAAGTCTTTCACCTGCGCATGCATGGCCTGGCGCTCGCCATCCACAAATCATGCCATTAGGTCTTTTTTTTTTTTTTTTTTTTTAACTCCCAGCGGTGTTAGTGGTGCTGATAAGAGAACACACCACTAGCACCGGGGGAGAGGCTCCATCTATTGGTGGGGAGCATCACCTGCTGGAAAAGGGGTCCAGAGTCCCATATACAGGATATGATCAGAAACAATGGGAGAAAATGACCTGCCAGCATTGATTACCCTGGATTACAGCGGATTGACTGAGCAGGTCTTTTGGAAAAAACCTTGAGAGAAGGACCGGGAAGAAGGGACTTAGACTGATAACTGGAGACAACCTGCCAGGATTGACTGCTCTGGAACTAGAACCGTAGCTGGAGAAAACCTGCCAGAATTGTGTGCTGTGCCTGGAAACCGCAGCCCATGTGCAAGAGGATGTCTTGTGATGCATAGGCAAGTAGCAGGAGTCCTTCTCACCCCTTCCATCTGGTCAGGGTACCAGGAGGAGCCACTGGGGGCCACCAGTGGGGCCTCCTTCCGTCACCCTGTCCTGCCACGAACAATCTCCATGCAATCATACGACCCTTCAGTCATCTGTCGGGTGTGACCAGTTGACATCCGTCCCTGCTATGTCAGATGTTAGTCTCAAAAAAAGGCCAAAAGGAACAGAAAACACAGCAGGTTGGGTTCTGAAAGATTATATCATAGATGTATTTCCACGGACCATGGCTGGGGGTGGAAAGGGTCTGGAAACTCCTCTGGGGGTCTCATGGGGATACATCTCTCCAGATCTATCAGCAGCCAGTCCGTGAATCTTAGACGGTAATCCCTTGAGACTTACTCTCTTTGGCTGTCCTCCCCACCTTCCCTATCTTCCCAATCCCCTGACCAGCATACTTCCGCAACCCATCCCTCCCGGTCTCCGCCCAGCCATTCCCTAGAGAAATGCAGTAACCATTCCCTAATGTCTTTGGAGGGATGGAAATTGCCGAGTGATTGCGTGGTTGCTTTCCACCGATGTGAGAGTTCCAGTTGGAAGTGTGTTTTGAATTGTTCGACCCTCTTTAGGTCACTTCAACCTCAAAGAAAAGTCCCAACTCTCCTCCAAAGATAACTCGTTTCCCACGGCTGGTAGTCACCGGTTCATGCCTAGTGGCTCGCAAGGTACCCGTACAGCAAATCCCGTGCAACAGCAGTGCCTCAACCAGGGCCGGAAGGGGTTCTTGTTCAGCGCTGGTGCCCGCGTCCGCTGTCCGGTCAGGTTGCTCAGGTAGAGAGTGATAGTCCTCGAGTGAGGTAGGATGGACGGAGGTGGGGGTGGACCATGAAATATCGCGAGGTCGAAGGGAGGCTTCTCGTGAGGGAGTAAGGCCGAGAGTGAAAAAAAAAAAAAAAAAAGATGTTCTCTTTTTCTCTCTTTTCTTTTTTTTTCATTATAAAAAAGCTGCCTTCTCCTCATCGGGGGACAGCCATATATTTTTCTCTCACCTCACATATCTTTTAACGGGTGTTCTGCCATGTCATCATGGAACATATCTTTCAAATTGCTTGTATTGTCAATCGTGGGGTAACTTCAGTAGAGTCACAAAAAAGGGAGTTATAATTGCACTTCGGGGCAAGATACAGTTTGCAATTGCAGTTCGGTACTTATTTTTTCTATTGCTACCAACTGTTATGATTGTTATTGCTATAATAATAATAATAATAATAATAATAATAATAGTAATAATAGTAATAATAACAATAATGGTGATCATGATGATGATTGGAGGATGTGACAAAATCTTGACAAAGATATTCGACCCAAGTCTGGCTGTTGGAATGTCGAAGCCTCGAAGGAGGATGACACATTGTTGTGGATGCTGTAACAGTTATCTGTTTGCCATTCTGTGATTTCTTTTTGGAGCAGGTAACTCATACAATGATGAAGAACGATGTGTTATAGCCGGTAAGGAAAAACTTCATTTCATTAGTGACTACACAAGTTCTTAACCGGGAGCCCCACTTTCAGCTCCTTGGTTAACTGAAAGTTCAAAACTGAAATTAGGGTTTGGGCGGGGTGATTGGGTTTTGTTATAACTTATAAATGGCAAGACAAATTGTCTGAAAATTTAGGCCTCCGTTAACCTGCTCTCTCCAATTCATGTCGTCTTCTGTGAATTATGCAAACAGGTGATAAAATTGCTTCTTAAAAGCAATCAATGTGGTCCTCCTTTTTCTTCTACTATTTTCCCTATTGCTATGATGATAGTATGATCCTGTCCATCTCATGATGCAAGATAACTTTGAGACAAAAACATTGGAGTGAGATAAGGCGAGAATACGAAGAAGAAGCAGAAGCAGAAGCAGCAGCAGCAGCAGCAGCAGCAGCAGCAGAAGAAGAAGAAGAAGAAGAAGAAGAGGAGGAGGAGGAGGAGGAGGAGGAGGAGGAGGAGGAGGAGGAGGAGCTGTCTCTTATACACATCTAGATGTGTATAAGAGACAGGTGTGGGGGTGATGGGGCGTATTTCTCAGTGTCAATGGGCAGAGGGCTCGCGGAAT